GCTGAACTAGACTTCATTTACAAGTGTAACCCTAACAACTTGGGCTTGAACAAAGCTATTAACTGGTTAATGTACTACAAAGGTAATTTCCCCCATCTTTGATATTCACATTTCCACATCACATGCTATAAGTATTTGGACACATCCAGCCTGATTTAATTAACTTCATTAAACACAGGTCCTACAATTGACAGGTAACTGCTTTTGCTGTTATATATCCCCTGGATTCTGTAATTTCCACTCCAGATCATCTGATGAACTGGGTTTTACCCTCAAAAGCTCATGATATAAATATATTTGTTAGTCTCTAAGGTGCCACAGGACTGCTCACTGTTTTAAAGTTACAGACTCACATGGCTACCTGCAATGGGACATCACTCACCTCACGCAAGTGGCTCCCTTTTGGCCAAGTGCCTGTGTCTGCTCTCCTTGCTGTGTCAGCCTTCCTGCAGCCCTATCTAAGCCTTTTGAGCTCCAAGGAGGAACTGCCCCATGCTGGCCCAACAGCTTCCTTTTAACTGGCTTGCTGGGCCCTGATTGGTCATGTCCTTTGTGCCACTCTATCTTTCCTGGAGGACTTCTCTATGGTTTGCTGGGTAAGTGTGGGGGCAGGGGGCTTTGGGGCCTGGTCCACCCCATCACACTATTCTTCTGGGATCCGCTACAATGATTAAGAAATTTAGATCTCTGATAAGGAGCCTCCAACCAGAACTGGACCCTGCATCAAGACAGCACCACTTCTGAAATGTAGAAACAGAGCCCTAGGCAGTGTGCTTTGGATCTGCAGTGGCCGGTCACCTTTAGAACAATAGGGCTTGACACACACATCTGTGTGCCTGGGTCACGGAGCAGGCGCTGTTACAGGCTCATTCCCAGAAGAGCAGCGGACTGGGATTCTTCTCAGAGGGGTCTCGTGAATCTTCTCTGCAATGAGTCAACTGTACAGGGCTATTTTGTCAGGTCAGGAAGCCCTGAGCCCTACCATCTTCCCCACTGGCCATGGCAGAAGGAACCCAGAGAGGAGACAGGATGACAAAAATCAAATGCATTCATCAGAAGAAAAAAGAACTATGAGCATAAAAAGCGGCTCTTTTGTTCCATCCACTGACTCTTCTTCCCCCACCCTCACCACACCCCCACGCACACCGAGTTCACCTCACCCTCTCTGGAGAATACAGGCCAGATTTAAAGGAACTCGGGACCAGATTTTCAAGAGTTCAGCAACCCGAAGAGGGTCCATTTTCCTGAGAACTTAGCTCCCCTTTTGACACCTAAATAAGATTTGGGTTTTCAAAAGCACTCAGTGCCTAGTCTGCACCCCATCTGCTAGGACCCATGAAAACCTAGCTACTTGTTCTGGGAAGCCAGCGAGGAGTCCTGTGGCCACACCTCTGAGGACGTGGCTTTTACCCATGAAAGCAGGTGCCCAAATAAATCTGTTAATCTTTAAGGTGCCAGAGGACGCTTTGTTGTTTTTATAGACACAAGCCAACACTGCTCCCCCTCGGGGACAAATCTGGTTGCATTTGTGGGTAATGTTCCCTTAGGAAAGTCTAGCGCTAGCCATGACTACAGGTAAAGTAGTTTCCACTTGTTGGCAGCAGTGGTACAGCATAGGTTAAGCCCAGCTGGACATGCTCACCCATGTGTTTTCATAAACATCCCTTTTGCTATGCAGGCCACCGGCTTCCTTTGGCCTCTCTGGCACATTTCCTGGGGACATAATCTCTGTCTAGTACCCAACTGGAAGAGGACCCAATGGCCCAGCTGCCCAGGGCCTGTGCTAACCTCCCCTCCCAACCCAGCCTGTTCTGGTAGGTGGATGAGGATCATGAATTAGAAATGAAAAATTTGTGGTAAGTTGCCCTTCCTTCATTGATGAGATAAGGTGGAAGACCATGGTACTTTTCAGGTAAGTTTTCTGCTCCTTTCATGGACTTCCAGTCCCGTTTATCATGTGACCCTTCTGGTCACTCTCAAGCCCCCTATCAGGTGACCAGTTGCCTAGTTACCAACTCGGTCTGTTTTGCTGGGTGGCAGCCATGGTGACGTAGTGAAAATCGTGTCACAATTGTGACCTCTTTGAAATTTTCAGGGGGTTTCCTACTCACACTGGCAGACTAGGGGACTTGCTAGAGAACTGTGTGATCTGAGCGGAGCAGTAGTTTGTAGATGGACAGTTACGGTAAGATGGGGTCAGTTGTGCCTCTCTTAGTGTTTTTAAGGGTGCAGCCTATTTTGTCTCAGTTCTTCCATTCTTGTGTTTTATTCTGAATTCTAAGAAACAGAGTCATGCTACATTGCAACCCTCCAGCAAGAGCATTTTACGGTGTATATCTAACTTCTCTGTGCATGTGCCATGAAACTTAATAGCCAGTTTATTGACCTCCATAGAGTACCTCCATTTGCTTAGAAGACCATCAAAGTGTAATGGCCCACCACAGTTAATCCTGTGTCAATACCAGCATTCCCTGTAAATTATGCGCTTGGGCAGCTACCCGGGAGAGATTCAAGTGCCACCCAGCTGATAATCAGAGCCAGCGGCGTGTGTTTCTATTGGTGGTGCACATCCACAGATGCCACCGTGCATCTAACAAAATTTATTCCACACATAGATCAGGAGGAAAAAATAGAGGGACCATTGATTGATACCCCTTGGAATTTCAGACTACCTGTCAGGTAAAAAGACAGCAAAGGGCACAGATGAGCCCTGCAGTAGAAACGGAGCTGATAGTTTGCAATAGATCCTGGCAGAGTTCATAACGCCAGTCAGAATTCATAGGCAGGAAGACAGATTGATTCCCCAAATTACTGCAAGCAATGCCTGGAGTCCCCAGCTAGCAACGGTGAATAATAGTTTCCTCTCTGCTGGTAATAGCAAAGGTGTGGCGGAACAAATTGCCCAGAACACTTGAATAATCAGAAAGCATCAATTATCTTGTTCATCGGCACTGCCGATTAATCGTGCGAATCTTAGGATTCCTGTTTACAAGATTAAAATAACCTCTCGCAAAGCTTTGTGGCGCACAGCATTTCTAGATAGCGCCAGGCACCCGAATAGAAGACATCTGCTATGCACATGCGGGCCAGGTAGGGGCTTACTTCTGACCAATTTTCATATGGTTTGTACAAATCAGCACTAACATGCCCCAACAGAGAAGCAGCAGCTAGTTCCTGGGTAGCTTCACGTTTTAAGCCTCGCACTTTTATGCCGCTAGCTAGAACATATGCTTGCCTTGACCAGACTGAGGGTATGTCTACACTACAAAGTTAATTCGAACTAATGGACGTTAGTTCGAATTAACTTTGATAGGCGCTACACTAGTGCTCCGCTAGTTCGAACTTAATTCGAACTAGCGGAGCGCTTAGTTCGAACTAGGTAAACCTCATTTTACGAGGACTAAGCCTAGTTCGAACTTACTAGTTCGAATTAAGGGGTGTGTAGCCCCTTAATTCGAACTAGTGGGAGGCTAGCCCTCCCCAGCTTTCCCTGGTGGCAACTCTGGCCAACACCAGGGAAACTCTATTGCCCCCCTCCTGGCCCCGGACCCCTTAAAGGGGCACGGGCTGGCTACGGTGCCCGTGCCAGGTGCAAGCCTGCCAGCACCCAGCTAGCAGAC